GATTGCTGCCTCGGTCCGATGTGCTTGCGATTCAGGTTGTGAGGCGGTGTGCGCAAAGTGTGTCGTCCTCTTTTCATCGCAAATGGGACGGGCGACGTCTGACGATGACAGCTGTTCTGTGGGTCTAGTGAACGTTACGTCTGCAGTATGTTTCCTTGTTCTTCCGTTGCTGCAGGATCATGGGTCTAATGCATAGGCGAGGCTGGGAGTTGCATGTCGTGTATGCGGGTTCCAGGGGTGGACATAATGGAATGTTTGTTGGCTGTGCAAGACACCGAACGACTTCATCATCAGCTGGTCGTTGCGACGCGGACCTTTGGAGAAGGCGGCTTGTTGTCAGGTCGAAGAGGCACGACGCTCGTGGCCAGATGCTGTGACGATTTGACCCGCTGGAGACGGGCCGCTCCTTCCTCACAACTCGGCTGATTGGCAGGCGCATGCGGGTGGGCAGGTGCGATGAGGTAACCGCGACCACGAGCATGAGAGAGGCCGTGAGCCAAATGAATCACCAGCTATCAACTACATGACTTCTTTGTAATCTTGGACTGCTGGCTTCTAATGCCTTGCTTCGTTCGGCCGGTCATGACGGCGATGGGCTTTCCGCTTTCCGGCTCGCGCTGTACCTTGGCCCCATGCCAGGTTTAGCAGAACAAGCACGATGAGCTGGCACGCTGGCAATCGATCGTAGCCGTCACCAACTCGACGTCCGCTATCCTCGTCCCAGTGCAGTCGCTTGCATGCATCTCGCTGCACGTCGGTCAGTGCGACTCCACATCAGCAAATATCAGCGTTTGGCGTATTTGCTTCCCGGGTGAAGCTCCGCTCGCGCTCAAAGCGCTACCACAGGTCCGCGATTGCTCAGCCGCGCGACTTCAATGCATATCCAGACGAGACCCTCTGTCTCTTCCGTCACTCTTTTCTACCCACCCGCGCGTTGCAGCAGGCGCCGCGCTTCCGAGCGCTGGGGCTGAGGGCCAGCTTTTCGTCCGGTGACGTCTGCTTCGGCACTGCCAGCAGAACTCGAGGCATTGGACAACCACCAGCACCACGACGACAGCACAGCGCAGCGCAGCGCATACATAGTCACCAATCGCGCATCCAGACACGTACATTGGCTGTTTCATGGACTGTCGGTGAGAGGTGTAAGTTGATTTCACGAAGCGTCCCAGCCACCTCCCAGCCCTTCACCTCCTCCCAACCACCCTACCTCGCGCGCGGAATTGCTAGGGCGCACCGCAGCAATGGCTCCTCTGCTAGCCCTCCCGCAGTCTCTGTCTCTAACATTGCCCTCTCCAGCCAGCTTTCGTGCCTCTCGATATAAGCAAGCCGTCGCGCGTTGCTTACCCAATCCCAAGAGAACCAGCCGCTGGGTATCTTCTCCAACCCGGCGGGTGCCCCTCGACGGCGCAAGGGCAATCGGGCCTGAGTGAGAGTCCCTGACTTCGCGGTGACGTCCAGCGACCCATCTGAGCTCGCCAACATATTACCCTTCCAACAACCATCTTCACGAGACCACGACCGCCACGGCCCAGCGCCACTGTTCGAATACCGAACCTCCCTCCAGCTACGCCAGGAGCAAGCCGACGCCTTCTATCGCACGCAGCACAATCGCTCGAGAGCATCGAGCTCGACCGGCAGCGTCGCAAACAGTCTTCGCCGCACGCCCAACTTCGAGCGCGCGAGATCTGTCGATCCGAGCCAGCAGCAGCAGCGCGTTCGCTTCGAGACACCTCGCCCTCGCTCGACCTCCTACGCCGAGCCTCACCCTGCCCTTCGCGTCAGTCAACGTACTGCCTCGGCAATACGTTTTGTGCTCGAAGAGGGACTCCGACTTCCACATCCCTTCACCCCGGATCTGGTCGAAGAGAACGCCCTCATGTCCGATCTAACAAGTGGCCGCGCTGCCAATGGCGGCGCGCGCACAACAGGCGGTCCTGTGCCCGTTGACAGGTCCAACATACGCACGCCAACGCAGATCATGAACGCCAGACGGCAACGGGCTGAAGTGGAGGAACAAAGGAAGGCCGCTGAAGAGGAGCGCAGGAGAGCTAGCGCAGAAAGAAGAGCTCAAGCTGTTTCTGGTGTAGCTGGAGCACCAACAACGGAGCCCGGGACCCAGAGGCAGCCCCAATCGGCAGCTCTGAGATCTGGCGACCAGTATGTACAATACCCGACATCATCGGGTGGAGTGCCTCGTCAGCCAGAGAGGCCGATCCCATCACAAAACACCATGAGCGAAGCGCAGGAGACCACTACCGGCGCATCGCAATCCAGACCCCGGGCAGCTTCGCAAGCACAGCAGCAGCAGTCTCGACCCGCTCAGGCAAATCTAGGCCTACCAACGACGGCGGAACAAGGCAGACGGCCAGCTGGCTCAGGCCATGCGAGGCGACCGTCTGGTGCCACGGCCGCTTCGTCGCAAGCAGGCCCTTCCGCCGCTGCAGCACGCCCACCACCTCCGCCAGGCTCGTCCTCCGGACAGGTTCGCGAGTCAACCACATCAAACTTCCCACATGCGTTTGAGCGCTGGGAAACACTATCCTCGCATTGGGAAGGTCTTACCTCCTACTGGATACGGCGGCTTGAGCAGAACACCGATGAAGTTCGCAGGGAGCCGCTGGCTCAGCAAATGTCGCGCCAGATCACCGACCTGTCTGCAGCTGGTGCTAACCTTTTCCATGCTGTTGTTGAGCTGCAGCGCCTACGCGCATCTTCCGAGCGCAAGTTCCAGAGATGGTTCTACGAGCATCGCCAGGATCAGGAACGAGCTCAAGAGCGCGAGGCTCAACTGACGGAACAAATCAACACGGAGCAGGAGGCTCGACTTGAGGCTGAGGCAAACATGGAACGCATGGCCACCGAGAAGAAGAACGCCGAACGAGCGGTGTCGGAGATGAAGCGTGAGCTTCAAATCTCGAAAGAGGAAGCACGCCGAGCATGGGAGGAGCTTGGAAGACGGGAGCAAGAGGAACGTGATCGCACGTTTTCACTCAGAGAAGGGCAGCCTACGTTGGTCGGCGGAGTGCAGGTGGTGCCAATGGCGCAGAACATGGGACGTCAAGGGAGGGGACATGGGGACGACACATACGCCGGTGCTCAGAGCAGTGGCTCGGGTATAGAACAGCACTACTCGTATGAGGAAGGTCAGTCTCCAACTGATACCGATCCCTTCACGGAAGGCGCTCGCCATGCGCACCGAGAACCTGAACCCCCCGCACACGTGGCCCAAGGAACCTACGTCCCGTCAGGTGCAGCATCCGCCGCCTCCTCTCGACCTGGTGGCTCTTCAGTCGCGGACGAGTCACTAGCCCCTGCTCCATTACAGTATCCATACTACACGTCTCAGGCACAGCAAGCTCCTGCACAACCGGCCATGTCTCAGCCTGAGGCGTTCTACCAGCAGCCAGGTTCATATTTACATCAAGAGTCTGAGTCTGGTTTACCAGAGGACGAACAGTCATACGTCACGTCTCAGGCGGAGGAGTCTGAAGGCGACATCGAGTACGCCCTGGACGAGAGAGGCAACTTCATCCGCGATGATTCGGGTCGCCGCATTCCGTTCCGATCGCTTCAGTCTCCAGTATCTGATGAGTATGATGTAGAAGATGCACGTCGACGCGAGCTTGAGCATCTGCAGCACTACGGCACGACTGCCACATCTTCAGGTGCCTACGCAACGAGCTCGAGCGCGGGATCGTCACGCCAGGGTCACCCTACCGCTGGCGGTGCACCCGACTACAGTGGCGATGGCTACGGCGATGAGTGGGTAGGCATGAGACATCACCATCCGACAAGACTGAGTGACGTTCCCGAGGAAGATGAGAGGAGCCGGACGTCACCCAGCAGAGCAAGCCAGGCCAGCCGAGGACGCCTCTATTAGAGGGATAGATACCACACGCCCTCTCACCTCGTCAACAGAAGTATCCTCAAGGCGCTTAAGCTTTGCAACCATACTGTTATCGAACCGCGGTGTTGCAGACCGTCTTCACACCACGAATTCCGCACACGCATATATCGTTTCGGCATACATGTTACAGCGAGCATTACATACCAGGTCCCCTGCGTTTATACCCTTCTACAAGATCTCAATCGAGCGTCCCCGGCCCTCTATGGCTGATTCTTGCATCTACGACCGCTCCCTGTACTAGTAGAACTGTCTTTTTTTGTTTTGCGATTTAATCTCTTTCCAGCAAGCATGGTGTTTATCGGGCATTGGCATAGGGCTGGATTGAAGGATGATGGAAGGAGGACTTGGTGGTACGGTAGGCAGTCTCCGCACGTCATGATGGAGTAATATCGGGGTTGAGTGTCTAATGGATTGAATGAACTGGAGAGATGGGTGAGCTAATGCATAAACCTCGAGTGTTCTGTTTCTGAGATTCTCGTCTTTTCGTCTTTGGTCACGTCTTTTGACTTGGTCCGTTTCCTTTTCCCAATGTAGTGACCATTTTCTTGTCAAAGTTCTCCCTAATGTAATTTCATTCGCATGTGTCTTCGGCAGACAATCCTCTCAAATGTGCCGTCATTCTTTCTGGTTATGGAGAGCTTGGTGAGTACACCATTGGGCGGACATCTGCACACCTCAGTACTGGTGTACTCGCGATGGGTCGAATAAGTCACGTGCACATTAGCACACACTGAAGGTGAGTGCCTACGAAGCACATGTCTCCAAGGACTAGCGACAACGAAAGGTCCTGCTCTGTGGAGGACGCCTAGTAGCTTCTTTTAGCTTGCGCGACACCGTTGGTCCGCGTTCGACGCGTATCTTGCGCGCTTTATTGCGCGCCAAGCATTGCTCTTTCCTCTTCTGTTGCGTCGCTGAGTCTCACCTTTTCGCGTCCCAGCTTTGACTCATTGTCCCTTCACCTCCTACAGCACTCTCTTTAGACGATATCGTCACCTAGCTGCACGTCGGAGTGAGCGTGTTTGCCTCTCTTGTTCGTCCTTCGCGATACTGGTGACGCGGCCACGAGTGAGAGTACACGATGCCAGGGCTTACCATGGCCACCACCGACGGCGGTGCTGTACCTCAATCACTTACTACATCTGGAGCTGTCACGGCGAGTACAGAGGGCAACAGCGGCGGACGATGGATCAATGTTAGCCGAGGTAAGATGACATCTGCTTCTTCCTGACATTACTGACATATCGAAGATGGCAAGCTTGTCTTCAAGAAGTCCGCGTTTCCTTACTCCCGACTCTCATTGACCGAACAGCCACCTCGACCGATTCGACCAACGTTCCAGAAAGTACCTAATGCAAGTCTGCACCAAGAGAACAAGCGATGCCATGACTTCATAGAGTGGCTAGAAAAGAAGGTGGAAGATCAAGAAAAGAGGATGGTTCATGCCGAGATAGGACGAGCTGAGGATAGAAAAAGAGCCGTCGATGACTTGGTCGAACTGAAACAACACAACAAAAGGGCGGTGACCGACTTTGGTTGCGCCACGGCAGAGAAGAAAGAATACGAGAAGAGGATGATGGTGGCTGAAGACAAGCTGGCTTCGCTTGAACAGCGTGAGGAAGCTTTGAAGATTGCAAAGTTAAAGCTTAAGCACCTTCAAGCAAAGTCCAAGACATTCCAAGATCTCTCTGATGCGGTCGTGGCTATGGGCACCAAAGTCGAGAAGGCAAGTCGCGATATGAAGAACTCAGCAGCACGCAAGAGCACTCCGCAATCGGCCTTCAAGAAGTAGGAAAGACAGTATTGTGAGCCAAGCATCCGGCTCGTTCAGCTCAACGAGCAGCTCAAACAAGAGCGAGACAAGAACCGAGAAGAGCATGCTGAGCTGAATAAGACTTTACAAGAGCAAGAGATTTCACACAGTCAGACAAGAGACCAAAATGAGGAAGAGGGAGCGAGGTTAGCAATCGAGCGACAAGCGTTTCTCGCAGAGAAACAAGCGTGGCATCTGCAGAGAGGCCAGACACTCAGCGACACGGAGTTCAAGCTCACTTTGAATGTTTGTGTGGAAAAGCAACTGGAAAAGATTACGCCTCTCATTGTGGAAGAAGCCCGAAGGTACATCTGGACATTGCAAGAGGCGGAGTGGGGTGAACACGAGTCCGAGAGCATCGCAAACGCCAAAGAGCAAGGCTACGAGGACGGTTACACCGAAGGTCTTGCAGAAGGCAGACGCATTGCTTCAGCTGATATGAGCGAGATTGAGTGCGAAGCCTATGACAATGGCTATTCCGTTGGTTATCAAACAGGCAAAATTTTCGGGATGGACTGGGTTGAGGTGGAGCACGAGATGAAGCTTCCAAGGATCCAAGAAGATGCAGGTTACGCTCGCGAGACGATTCTTTTGTCTACTATCCGAAAGATCGACTATGTGACCGATGGAACAGTTCGAAGGGTCTTTGCTTGTTGTTCAGACATGACTTGCTCTAGGCACAAAAGGGAAACTGTCGTTGAACATCAATTCAAATATGGCAAGACCTATCCACGACTTCATAGCCAGGACCATGAGGGCAACGATACGGACTGTGTGAAAGAGTATACTCGGGGACAAGCAGATGGTGAAGCCCAGGGATATGAGAAAGGTCGGAACGCCGGACAGTCTCAGGGTCACCAGAAAGGTTACAGCAAAGGGTACGCTCAAGGGGTCACCGCAGGACGATCGCAAGGGAATGCTGGTGTCCGGAAGAATGGATATAACGAAGGCTACGCCGATGCAAATGCCGGATTCGACGGACGACTGGATGCAGCGCACAAGAAAGGAGTTGATGCGGTTGAGGAGACTTTCAAGCCGAGACTCGACAGCGAACGTCAGGCTGGTAAAACTCTGGGCTATAACAGTGGATGGGTTGATGGCTACGATGCTCATAAGTCCATGCGCAGTCGTCAAGAGGCTGAAGAGGCTGAACAGGCCGAAGAAGCATTGGCTAGTTCGTGGGGTGTGAGCGGCGGCGGTGAGCCCAGGGATGATGGCTGGGGACAGGCTGATGATTCGGTATGGTGGGGACAGGCTGATGCATCGGTAGGATCGGGACAGCGTGATGAATGGTGAAGCCACGCAGAGTACTAAAGAACTGAACATGTACAGTCATGTTCAGAACTAGATGATATCGACACTAGTATCACAGTTTCGAAGCCATAGGCTTCGTACTATCAACCCTCCTCCCCTCATCATCCTGCTCCTTGACTCTCAAATCGGGAAAACCCGCAGGCATAATCCTCCTCGGCCTACTCCCCTCCACCAAATTGTACTTCTCAAAATCACTAACCCCCTTCATCCGCAAGAAATCCTCATCAAGCAGCAACTCCCCATTAACCTCTTCCACGGGCGCCTTGATCATCTGCAACACCGCATCAGAGAAGACATTCGCAGTCCTAAGATCCTTGGCATCTTCCTGGGCCATATTCTGCGTCGCAGTACTCTGCACCGCCGTCGCAGGCCAAATGCTTGTAACTGCCATCTCACTCTTTCCTTCGCGCTGGAAGTCCATCGCTAGCCCCTTTGTAAGAACAGACATACCCACCTTGCCCATCGCATACGCCGTCTTCCCGCGGAAAAAGCGCGAGTAGATCGGCGGACTAACAATGATAATCCTGCCCCTCCATGCCCCATCGCGCTGCCCAAAGTGCGGAAGACAGGCTTGTACGACGCCATACAGACCCTCGACGTTCACGCGCTGCATGAGCTGGAACCGCTTCATCGGGGTCTTGGCTACGCTTGCCCACCATATCGCGCCGCTGTTGTACACGAGTACATCCAGACGGCCGTACTTGGCTATTGTCTCGGCGACCATGCGCTCTATACTGGTATAGTCTCGTGTATCGACGCTTATGGCCGTGGCTTCGCCGCCGGACTCGTGGATCTCGCGGGTCACGGTGGAGATGGTGGACGCCGGCGAGTTTGGGTCGGGTGGGAAAGGAGAGCTTTTCGAGGCGTCGGAGGTGGATTTTGCGGCTACGACGACTGCGTTGTTGTTAGTGCTTTGACTCTTGGACGGAGGAGGTGGTTGCTATGTGCACCTGCGTAGCCGTCTTTTGCTAGGTCGATGGCGATTTGCCGACCGATGCCTCGCGAAGCGCCGACGACGAGTGCGACTTGTTTGTTGGACGTTGGCATGGTGGAGAGAGCGTATTGCGTAGGGTTGAAGGTTACGTCGCGCTGGGGGAATTGTTGCTTGTTGCTAACAGCAAAAGGCGCCTACGGAATGCATGCAGACATGGCATTGCAATGAGCATTCATTCTATAACCTCGGTCAATGCGTATGGCGCTGCATCTGCGGTACGCATAAGCTGCGCGGCGAGAATCCGGGGTATCCGCATCATTCGCGGTCTGAAAGGCGGAGGTGTGGTCGCGATTAGTGATAAAGTCCGGCCATGCTAGACCTCGGCAGCCAAGACACCTGGGCAGTGCGCCGATCCAACGACGACGCGCATAAGACATGGTCAGCGTCTTTACAAGTACGGCCTTGATTTCTCATCTCGTACGTTTGGACGTATTGCGAATATGGCAGGCAAAATTACGTGCTATCTAGATTGCGGCGCGTACTCACTATCCCCTTGATCGATGTCACGTTCTAACTATGGAATAGTGTCACCATACTCATACTACGCTTTACTGCACCTGGAGAGGAACAAGCAGACTCTCGAAGCGCACAATGTAGAAATCGAGTCAGTACCCGTTGTTTCATTGCCTAAAGCTCGAGACGAATCCCCTTCTCTGAAACCCTACCAACGAGACTGCGCTCTCGCCAAGAGCAAGTATGATCACTGACTTCATACAGTATAGTACCCGTCTTTCTAGGGGGTATCAATGTCGGCAGCGGTAACACTCCCTCATCCCCTCCCATGTGGAGTGCCTGGAAACTCGGTACTCGCTATGCCAAATCAGTCCTGACACTGCAGCGCAGGCAACAAGCCGCCGTGGACCCTGCCAGCAAAGGCGAACTACAGCCAGTACGATGGCGCGCGAGCGAAACACCACTTTGGCGTTCCCAATCTGCAGACACCATCTTTCTTTCCGATCCTCTCATTGCTACCACAGCGGGCGTTATGCTACGTGAAGGAAGCACATGGGGAGAGTTTCGTCGCTATCTTCCATGACATCTACCATGCAATGTGGGAAAACGGCAAGGACGTCAGTAAACCGGAAGTACTTGTGGAAGTTCTAAAGCAGCGTTTAAAGGAAGACGAAGCCCGAGAAGTCATGGCGAAAGCAAACAGCCCGCCATACAAGCAGCAGCTGAACGATAATACCAAGGAAGCCCTCGATCGGGGTGCCTTTGGCTGCCCATGGTTCCTTGTGCGCAACTCGAAAGGGGAAGAAGAACCATTCTTTGGCAGTGATAGGTACGTGCTCTCTCATCTGTGTCCCCGGCCCTGCCTTTTGCTTAGCATGCTCGTGTATTCCGTTGTGGGTCGACGAGGTTGGACCTCTACTAGTACGTCTATGTTCAGTAAGGCGCCCGCTACGGGGGAGATGCCGCAACGGATACAGAATGAGCTGCGAACGGTTGAAACATGGCGAACGAACACTCGAGAGCTGTGGGGCGCGCTAACGGGTATGCCATATAGGTTCCATTACATGTGGGAGTACTTGGGATTGCCGTGGAAGGATGTTCAGCTGTTGCCGCCGGGTGATGCAAAGGCGAAGATCTGACCGAGAAGATTTCGGGAGGGTGATAGGTATCCCAGTGTGTGGGGGATTGTTTGGAAATGGCGCGGGGCTGAAAGGCGGATTACGCAGTACGTGCGTCTAGACAATCCTGCGCGTCAGTGCAAATGTCTTCCAAGATGTCAGACTTTTCACCTCTTGCTCAATTTCTCAGACTTGTGTCTCTGCTCGAACGTCCTAATCGTCCCGCACAACCCTACATATCGTACCTTCAACCATCATGTCCTCGCACGCGGCATGCACGCTGCACGGTCGCCGTTTCATACCACTCACGGCGAAGCGTGGTAGTGTAGCCACCGGAGACGGGTACAAGCTTCCCCAGACATATGCAAGATTAAGTCTCCGCGACCTGTCAAGGCAGCATCATGCGCCACCGGAAAGGATTTGCCGCACACGCGATGCGCATGCCTGACCAGATCCACGCTATTGCGGTCGGGCACCGGTACCAGGCGGTCGCTGGACTGCGGCCTTCCGGTGGCGTGGGGATTACAAGCGAGCTCGGAGGTGGATCGTTGTATGCGTGGGTAATTACTAGCCACATTAGTGAGTATATCGAAGCATGTGCAGTGTCTAGCCGGTATTGAGTCGGTATTGATAGGAAAGACTTACAGGCTTCCCCGCCTTCACCAGCGACAAGCCGATACCGGGAAATTCAGCAGATTTGGCCTTTTCCCTGTCGTGGGAACAGATTGTTGCGATGTCCGGAGTAGTCCAGGGCTGATTGCGAAGCGCATGTGTGACGTGAGCGTCATGATCGACGACACATGTAGTACACGCGAGGCTCCTGCCAACCCAGCGAACATCGTCGCATTAGATTGCATACGTACCTGCGTCTCTGCACGCCATGACATCTCAGCTGGTCTCCTACTGGTGCGCCAGACACAATGGCTTGTTGCCAAGCCATGCCATGCAGATAACCGTTCGCTTCTGCACGCCGGCCAAACAAGACGATGTAGAACTTTTTTCGCCAGCTCAGCTAGCACTAAACGAGCAATCTTTCTTCAGCTCGACGCTTGACAGCTCGTCGTTATAGGTCTGCCAACCGCCATGCGAGGGGAGCGTAGACCGACACAGCCGTCAGGCAACTGGTATTTGCCTTCTTTGAGCTAGCCACGTTGAACATCACGGAGTAGCGGGATGGCAGTGCTGTTGCTTGATGAGAGTTATGCTTGCTTCTGACAATCTTTTCGCACCCCAATGAGTCTGCACGAATGGAGTGCGGTTAGCCTATACGGACAACCCGTTACCCTTCCGCGCGGATTCCGGAAGACTTTGCTGATTGAAAGAAATGGCGGGTCTACCCGAAAGCTTAGGCCTCTAACTCCGCGTACCATAGTATAGCAAGACATGGGTGTGGCGTATTTCAAACGTGAGTCTCATCGCTCTAGTCAAGGTTCTGAGGCTGTCTTGATCTATAATCGTGCGGATCGCCCCTCACCTCTACGTACCCAAGATATATGTGATTGGGCCTGTTTCATCATTTGGCTTCGGCTCCATCCTTACACTTTGTCTTGTTGGTGTACGATCCGGATCGTCAGTTCACCGTGTGCGTTTTCCATCCCCGCTGTCCACAAGACTCGTTCCACCACCCAGAGAGCGCCGATAGAGACCTTAGTGTGTTTGCGTGTGTCCATACGATCATTGCCTCCATCTTTGGGCTCCTCCTGGTCCCTCTGATCTCGTGGCACATTCTGGTGAGGCTACCTCTCTTCACGTAACCGCTCTGGCCTAGCGTACTGATGATGTGTATCGATTAGGTACCTTGCGTGGGCTCACTGCTGCATCATATAGATAGCAGGGCCAGCCTCGTCTCCTCCACTTTTGTGGCCGACCATTCACAATACCAAGTCTGGAAATTGCAAGATTTAGCGTTGTTGTCTACCTACCTTGGCAGAGCTTTGTACTCGCTCGAACTCCGCAACCCCACCGCCTAATCTCGTGAAGCGGTCAGGTCCGTCGAGCGAATGATAGAGTGTCATTCCTGTGAATACTGAACGTGTCCGTGTGCCTCGACATCTCGACAGCACCCCGCAATCTTCAGTCACGCCCACTTCACAGCGGTGGTATCCCGCCCGTTTTGGCCTCGCGTAATCGCGCATTCACGCCGACTTGCAATACTATTGTAAGGTTAGCGTCCCTTTGGGTACCCATAAGAGGCGGATGCCGCGAGAGCAGTCATGGCTCTCGCTCAAGAAGTCCCCCAGGATTGCAAGTATCTTCTTCCTCAATCTCTTGCTCAGCTTCAGCCCCGCCTAGTCTACGTCCCGGAACCTACCTCAGCGGATCAATTTCGGGACTTCCCTGACTATACTGGAATGCCGGATTCAATGATGGTAAGTGACGCCTATGCTGTCGCGGCACCGAGACTGACAACTGTGAAGGCAAGTCACTATGTGCAGACCCAGCCGTATGCACTGCAGAGGGTCGAGCAGGAGGACACCAAATCGACAGGCGCAGCACCTGCCACGCCGAGCTCCAACAACCTCGCGTACTCATCTGGCCAGCACTGGAGCGGAGTCCCTACACCCCCGTTCGACTGGCATCATGCTATCCAACAGACGCAGCCTTACGTCGTACCAATTTCGGACCCGCAATTCCGTCGGAATCAGGTCCTGACATACAACCCTACGCCCATCACACAGAACAGTATCGCGAAGAGCTTTAGCGACCCAATACCCTGGCCGTCGTCGGAACTCCATGGGCTGCCTCATGGGATGGCCGCCAACAGCTCTATCCTGGACAAGAGCATATCACCGTCGCCAAAGAGTTACCACAGCGACGACTTCGAGAACACCTACAGTCCAGGGTCGATGCTAGGTCAATCTTCGCCATGTGGAAATTGGAGCGTACCTTCAGCGACTACCACCAACGCCGCCATCCTTTCACCTCCCTGCAGGTCTTTCCTTGTACACGACGCAGATGGCGACACTGGATACTCAGGACTCCCGAGAATGGACGAGGACACGGCCAAAGTCACAGTGCCATCCGGATATCATAACCGAAGGGACCAAAGACCGATTGCCTCTTTCGGGGAGGACTACAACTCTGGATCAGATTATTCGCGATCTCAGACTAGTAGCGCTGGCCATTCTCCGTGGTACGGTGAGAACTTCGCGTATAACAACTCCAATCTAGCGTTCAGGACCCGCGACGTTGTGCGCTCCAGTCACCCAACCAGTAATACTAGCATATCGTCGACAGACGAAGCAAACACATCGCAGTATCCTGTGACGCCCTGGAGTACTTCATGCCCGGATGCCGGTCTCCACAGCCGTATCCAGGACAGGTTCCACGTTCCACGCAGTGTTGGTGCCCAAGCCCAGCGAGAGCACAACGATCAGCTACTGATCGATGGAAAGAAGAGAGGAGAGACGTATAAGGAGATCAAGTCGAAGATGGTCGGTGAGAAGCCTGCAGAGTCCACTCTGAGGGGCCGCTACCGATCCTTGACCAAGGCGAGAAAGGATCGCGTCCGGAAGCCCGTCTGGACAATGATCGATGTAAGCTGACCGCTTGGAATTTCCTTCGATCATGGTAGACTGACACATCGACAGCTACAGCTCCTGAATGAGACCGTTCAGCAAGAGTTTGATCGCATCGAGAGCAACCTCCAGAACCCGTACTCGCTAAGCTTTGAGCAAAAGATCCTCAAAGTCGCTTGGAAGAAGGTCGCAGAGTTTATCGCCGACAACGGCGGATCGTACCATTTCGGCAACGCGACGTGCAAGAGGAAATGGTTGGAGCGCAACCAAGGTCGCAAGTGATCGGAGATATACATGGGCATGTCGAGCGACGGCATCGACACCCTCATCCTCCAGTAAACTTGACTGGTGTCAAGTACTGGTCATTTTGAAGGTACAAACTGCGACCACTGGAACGTTCCCCGACTGCACAGCGTTACTGTTGCTGTTGAGGCACCGAGGGATGCTGTAGGGGCACCTGTCTTCTGCAAATGCGCAGAAGATTGTCGCATGGCAGCATCTTTGTTCTGTTACTTCCGGAGTCGTACTCCCTGTCTGTAGTACCTTGTTCTATTGTTATGTTGATGGTAATGTTGGCGAATATGTTCGTCTTAGCAGCATCTTGGGGGCGTAAGAAGCCTCCATGGCCTAGATGGGGAAGCTGCAAAGCATGGCGGTCGCATGACGTCGTTTCGGGAGGTCTTTTGAGCGGGTTCTTGCCGATATAATATCCCTTGAATTGAATGTGGCACGTCGTAGCAGATCCAGTGTGACAAACGTGATGACGATAGTGAAGCAGATGTCCTGAGGTGTGAAAACAATTCTAGACTTTGGCGCTAGCTCGCGGTGGAAGCTCGAACGGTTGAACTACCCACGCACCCCACCTGTCATCGATACGCGACAACGAATGAAGATGATTCTCGGGCTATCTGAAGCTCTTCCGAGCATCACGAAGCGCAAGTTCGAGGCTGCAAAGGCATCGTCGGATCTGCTGTTCTCGCCCACGGAGCTAGCCATCATCCGCTCATCTGCAGGCATTCCCGTGAGTATGCCGACCGTGCCACCACCACCAGCTCACACGCCAGCAGTTCCAATTACGATACTGCCCGTCGCTCGCCAAGAAACCCATTCCGAAGCTCCAGAATGCGACGCCCAAACAGAAGATCGACCCGTTCGAGAACCCCCCACCAGCCCTCCACCTGGCCGACATACCAGCCGCCAACCCAACCCACTTCCTCGTCCTCAACAAGTACCCCATAATATCCGAGCACTTCATCCTGGCGACAAAACCCAACAAGAAGCAAACACACGTGCTCGAACAGGACGATCTGGAGGCGACCTACGCCGTCTTGAAGGCATGGCAGGCAGACTCGGGCGGCGACGAGAAGCGTCTTCTCGCCTTCTTCAACTCTGGGGACCACAGCGGCGCCTCTCAGCCCCACAGACACTTGCAGTTCCTACCTGTAGAAGGTATGCGAGATAGCAACAATGCTAGCGACTGGGGCCTGCTCATAGATTTGATCT